TTTCATCATTTTTCCCTATTTTCCTCATCGAGAATTGGCTGGCAGGAATGGTATAAAGAAAATACTTCGTAAAACCGTGCCATACACAGAATCCGATTCGTTACCGTTACAAGTTTTACAAAGCACGGTTAGAGAACGGTACATTTATCGCCCGGTAATTTACCGCGAAACTCGATCCGAACATTTATTGTCGTTCCAAGTTAAATAGTTCGATACTAATTACGTTTAACCGCTTCGATTTACAACGTTCGTTTATAAAAGGTTTCGCGTAGAGTTAAATGTATGTACCTAAGTAATTGTAAGATCGGGAAAAGAGGATGTATAGGAAGTTCGAATAATTTTCTTTTTTGTCAATATTCTCATGATATTTCCAAGAAATGCTATTAATTACCTCGAAATTTATGATCCATCGTCCTAACGCTATTGGCGTGCCTGCTACTTCATTAATTTTAATCATTTATATGTGCTCCCTACGAAGCAAAAAAGAGAAAGGAATAATGAGATTTCTCACTCACATATTTGTTTAGTCTTATGGAAAATGCAGTATAGATGAGACTTAGCTTGTTCGATCATTTATTTTCCTCGTTTTCTTGTTTTTTCTTTGTTCTTTTCCGTTTTTTTTTTCTTGTTTTATTATTATTTTAATTATGAAAGTTTGAAATTAGTTTTGGTCGGCTTAATAAACAATTAGAACAATTTTCGTCGATCCTTAGTTTCGAACAAATGAATTAACTAATTGCTACGTCGAAGAAGAGAAAAAGGTTCTTATTATTTAATTTGAAAGAAATTTTTATCGAGACTTTGAGCTTATATGAAATTTCATGAAACAGGAATTAGAGCAAGTGCCATTTCTAGGTAATGTAGGTCGCTAGATGAGAGCAGAGAATTCGTCCAAACGTTAATCCTTTTAAATCATTTTAGTTCACTTTTTCTTTTTAAGACAAAATTATTTATGTCCAATGGAATATTACGAATAGAGATGTTGACCTTTTTATCTTTCATTTTGCTCGATTTTTTCTTCATACGAAATTCAATGATTTTTAGCTCTATTAAATTTATTATTTTCCGACGGTATCTCTTAACCAAATATATTCAGAAAATTAAAAAATCCTAATTCACGATCTTGTTACTACATTAGACAATTTACTTTTCTAATTCGATGATAATGCGTTCTAACCGAAAAAAAGAGAAAGAAAGATATATATATTATTTATATTCCAACGATATATTACTATATCGATGAAACTTTCTTTTATTCAGGAGCGTGGGATAAAGTCGGGGATTTAAAAATGGCGGCAAGCCGCGAGGGAATCCGACGAAGACTTTTAAGTATTCAAGCGAGGTCTAACCTTAGGGTAAAGGGGAAAGATAAAAAAAAAAATGAACTGTAAGAACGTTCTATCTCGATTTATCGCTCAAATCCTCCTCGCCGTTATTTCATTCGATGGAACGAATTGCTTCAACATAGACATACACAAGTATTATATAGTTGCTCGAATATTTCAATATGGCGTAGCAATTACATTAAGCACTTTCGTATAAAAAGTTCATGAGATGGGGATATAAGCGTCGTAATAATCTTTCCTATGAATAGGATCGACTTGTTCTTCATCTTCTTCTTTCTCTTCCTCCTCCTCCTCCTCCTCCTTTCCCTCTTAACGCAAATTCCGCGTTTCCTCGTTTGCGAGTGACATAATTACGAACATTTTCTCGCTCTCGTTGTCTGAGCACCGACTCGTAAATCCAATAGGGAGAGAAACTCGTCTGCTCTCGAGGAATTCCACGACGACAATGCGACTATGCGAGTGACTCGTGTCGTGTGACACGTGTCCGTTGCACCAACTCGCCGTGCTGCGACATACACCTAATGCACGTGTCGGTTGTACGGTGCACGAGAGCACGAGCAAGAGCACGAGCATAAGCACGATTGCAAGCTTACCATGCTCTTTCTCTTTTCTTTCTTTATTTCGGCAGCGTGTCTTCTTCTTCTTCTTCTTCTTCTTCATCTTCTTCTTCTTCTTCTTCTTCTTCTTCTTCTTCTTCTTCTTCTTCTTCTTCTTCTTCTTCAACTACTACTACTACCATTATTGCTACTACTACCAACACTACTACTCTTTCTCCTCCGGTTGCTCCCTTCTCTAGCAAGCTCTACGTGCTACGAATCGATCCCCGAGGCCGTTTGGAATTTCAAAGCGCTCTTTGACCGTCTTCCTGAAAAATTCAGAGGACGCCCGAACCGGTGCTACTGCATTTTTTTTTTCTTCTTTTTTTCACGAAGAAAAAAAAATAATTTTTTTACTAAGTTTTCCCGTGCGATCTTAAACCTTAAACCTTTCGATCTTTCGTCCGCTCAACCGGGAAAAAGTTTCTCCAAGAAATTCTCTGATTTTATACGACAATTCTATTCTTGTAATTTCAAATTTAACGCATTACAAACATATCGCGAAATGTTTCTCGTAAGTTAATATTTATAACTATATTTTTTTGTCTTTTCAAGACATCTGAATCAACAAAGAAATATATTGAGATTTTTTATTTCTTTTTTCTCTCATTCTTTGAAATTTGATTGAATGACTGGTTCAATCAATGACGTCGTGTGAAAAACTTATAGATAACAATAATTCGCTGAATGAAAACGATTGAATAAAGAGGAGAACACGTTCGCGCGAAAGTCAGTGGACCAAAGTGAAGACCGACCACCCGGCTGGTTCGTTCAAATAATGGGTCAATCTCAAAGCTTTGCCGCCTCGAGGTATATTAAGGATTAAGTAAGGAGCTTGAGCAAGAAAGAGAGAAATAGATAGCTAGCTAGCTAGATAGATAGATAGATAGATAGCTAGATAGATAGATAGATAGATAGATAGATAGATAGATAGATAGATAGATAGATAGGAGGGTGGAATCTTGCTCTTCGAAATCGGCTGATCTTCAGTGACGTCGCTCTCCTATATATCCAAAGTACTTCTCGAGGGCACTTAAATCAACCCGACGGACTGCAAAGCCTATTAGGCGCAATGAAACAGCAACGTGTTAGCTATCTCTTGCTTCCTTACTATCTTCCTTGTTTCCTTGAAACATTCTACGAAGATTTACTAAAATAATTCTAATGATCGTCCATCTATTTTTCTTTTCTTTTCTTTCTCAATTTTACCAAACTCAAAAAAGACACAGAAAGGTAGACGCGAATTATTTCTTTTGCTTATTATAAACTGAAATTGGTGTCGATATATAAGAATTAACCTTCGTCCGATAATAACTTTGAAAAAGTGGATATCAATACGATCTCTCTTATCGTTAGTATATATTCTCTCGCACGTCTAAACGCATTCGCGTCTGGCGTGAGAGCCCCTGGGATTTGGCGTGTCTCGCGTGTGCGAGGGTGGCAAAAAAAGAGAGTGAGAGAAAAGGTGAGGAGGGGGGGAGGGAACGAAGGGTGACTGCAGCAGCTTGGAGGAAAGAGAAGAGGGTGGTGGAGGTGGTGGTGGTTGGTAGCCGCCGGTTGAAGGGCGCTGCTGGATGGATTTTGCAGTACGCAGTTTTCACCTTTGAGATTCCATCCGGTGTTGTATGTGTTTTGGGGGGCGAAGAGCGGAAAAGGGGAGAGGAGGAGAAGAGAGGAGACGAATTGCACACAACGTCGGCTGTGAGGTACTTTGCCCTAGGAATTCAAGGACCCGAGGGCTGCCGAAGGTAGAAGGGAAAGAGAGAGAGAGGTTTCCAACGACGCTCAGCGTCGTCGTCGTCGTCGTCGTCGTCGTCGTCGTCGTCGTCGTCATCGTCGTCGTCGTCGTTGTTGTCGTTGGGGTAGCGCGTCGAACGTTAGTGAGGGTGAGGGCAAACTTGTGTTGAGGTGTGTAGGTGCCGGTCGATACGCTTTCTCGCACTCATGCCACCTCCTTCTTTTCTCTCTGTTTCTCTTTCACCCTCTCCCTCTTCCTGTTCCTTTTCCTCTTCGTCTAACTTTCTCTCGCTTTCTCTCCTATTCCCTTCCTCATTCCCTTGACTCCTACTTCTCACCCTCCAGCAGGAGGAGAGCGCCGCGACGGAAGCCGCCGAGCTGCAAGGTGTTTTAGCGCGCTCTCGAGAAGCCGCCATTTTGAGAGGGAGAGAGAGAGAGAGAGAGAGAGTTACACCCATCCTCCTCCGGTAGCTTCAGCTAGCTTTCTTCGCTACTTCGCTTTTGCGCGATGAACATCTCCACGCGTCGAAAAACAACGACCAAACCATAGCAGCTCTCTCACTTGCTTTCTTTCTTCCTCTTTCTCTCTCTTTCTCTTTGCTTCCAAACTCCACCCATCCCTTCGACCACCCATCCTCCTTCCTCTTACCGAACAACGCTTCGCGACTCGCTTTTCCATCGGCTGTGAGCTCCTCGTACGCCTACACATCGTCGGTGTACAGTAGTCGTTGCTACTGCTGCCTCGTCTAATTAAAATTCACGAGATATGCGCTTGCTAAATCGACGTGTACCGCACTACTCACGAGTCTCTCCCGTTAAAATGGATTTATCTCTCTCTTTCTTTCTTTCTCTCTCTCTCTCTCTCTCTCTCTCTCTCTCTCTCNTCTCTCTCTCTCTCTCTCTCTCTCTCTCTCTCTCTCTCTCTCTTTATCTATCTATCTCTTTCTTTCTCTTTGCTTACGACCCTTCTTCTAATTATTATTTCCGTGTAACGCTCGTATTTACGCTCATTTCTCGACGCGTATCTATAACACGTGTAATTAAGCTTACTCCTCCCTCGTTCATTACTGTCTCAACAATGTTCTCCTGACGATAAACAAACAAAAAAATAAATATGAAAAGAAGAAGAGACATGCCTTGGTTCTTTACCGAATAGAACAACGTGTCATTCAATTGTTCCTTTATGTTCTATTTAATTATTACTATTATTATTATAATTAACGATGACTTAAACAGAAATCAATGTTTGATTTATTCTCTTTACCCTCATTGAAATTTATTATTTTGATTCTAACATTGTCATATTTTTTTTTTATTTCAGTCGTTCTCCTGGACACAACGGCGGAGGCGAAGCTCGAGTGGACGAGGTATCCCTATGGACCGCAAGCAAGCACTCCTGGTGTAAGTTCATTCACGAAATATTATCGTTAACTCGTTCTAGCGAAATATTACGCTGAAATTAATCGGGGAAATGAGCCAACGAAAAAAATACAAAAAAAAGAGATAGAGAGAGAGAGAGAGAGAGAAAGAGAGAAAGATAGCAAAAGACAAAGAAGGTTTATCGTATATTGGAGCATTTGGATTTTCGTTCGTCATTCCTTAACGAGAGGTAAAACGTGTGAGCGCACACTAGTTCGTTCCATTAAATCCGTTGCAATCCTCGTTCGAATCTACCGTCAAATTTTTTTCTATATTCACTTTTTGTCTTTCTCCCTATTCCTCTCTCTCTTTCTCTTTTTATCTGCCATCTAAACTTTTAAAAGGATTGCCCGGGCGAAGCTTCGATGGCCGGCCATGATGGATAGCGACAAGTATGGCAACGTTATATCGCAAAAACCATTTATCGATAGTACGTATGTTCTCTTCACGATAATGGATCGAAAATTCTGATCGTGGCCTCGTAATAAATCGAAAATAGTGTAAACTCTAGCCGTGTCTTCGGATTGAGTACAAACTCAACCGAAGATACGCGAAACTTGAAAAAAAAAAGAGAAAAAGAAATATGAAAAATGAGAAAAATTCTCGAAGGAAAAGTCAAAAGGTTCGAAAAGTGTGTCTTCCCGTGTTCTTGGTATCCCATCAAAGAATAGCGAAAGCGCACCACCGTCCAAGGGATTTGTAAACGTGGTAGGAAGGGGGCATACGGAGCAAATCTGATAGAGTGAGAGAAGGAAAGAAAAGGATTCCGGAGCTTCCCGACACCTTCTCGGTGGACGGAAAGTACTTACATTCGCGGTCCGTAGCGACGTCCCGCGGGGTAAAACAACGGCAAGAAGAAACAACCGGGTTCCATGGGGGTACCAGAAGCACTTTATGGTCTCGGTGCGCACGGCATACGTGGGCTCCCGCTGGCCAATCCAAGCTATCTCTGTCGCTCTTTCTCTCTCGGCGCCATGTTTGTTTTTCAGTTGTTAAGCGCGCAGCGGGCCGCCAGACAGGTTTAAATCAGCCTCTACCTCTTCTTCCTCTTCTCCCTTCTCTCTTCTCTTCTTTTTCACACTGCCCGCGTATATCTTTCGTCCTTTTCTATCTTGCATCATTCGATTGCTTTTCTCTCTCTCTTTCTATACCGCGCGTACCACTGGCCCAAGAGTCAGTTCGCTGGATAACAAATTGCTTTTTGTTTGAACGGACAAATTAGAGAGACGACCGCCAATGAGAAAGAGAGAGAGAAAGAAAGAGAGAGAGAGAAAGGATGCGTTTATTTAAACACCGTGTGACGTACCGCCGTTTTCTCTTTTATAGAGGTAAAGTATATACATAAATACATGCATAAGCATTTATACGCTTTAGTTTGTATACACGTATTACTTCTACTGAAAAGGTATTTGAAACACCAAGAATTAGTAATCCGAGTTTTAGCATAGTTCCTCTAAAACATTGCACTAATGTCATAAACGAGAGATATATTTTAGGTGAGATGTTTCTTTTTATTATTGTTGAAACATAATTAATGTGGTGTGGTCATCTTTTTTATAAGAATATATATATGAAAAATAAAAAGGGAAGGTCTTTGAAGATTTTTTTGTTGTCCGGTTTTATCAAACAAATGCAACACATCTCTAAGGAGCACGCGCGGTACTTTCGAGAAGAGAATAAAAATTGTGAAACAAAGGACAAATATTTCATTTGGTCTCTAGGAACAGCGTCGTCGCGGTCGTGAGTTTACGTGGGTGTCGAACGAATATCTCGATTTCGTTCTTCGAGATCGTAATGATAAACCGTACCTGGCACGTTTTACGGCTACGTAGAGATCATTAGATTTCCTTAGGAGTGTCGATACACGTTCCGCGACGATATAATTCGATCGGTTGCGACAAGTCGATTTCATCGATCAGACTTCCACTGATACATATGTATATATACTTTTGTTTATTTTACTATAATTTACTGCTCTTTTTTTTCTTTTATTCCCAAAAAGATCAATCGATTAAAGTGATTCCCATTTTCAAAAATTATCTTTGATAGCTGAGATCGTCTTTCCATGATTTAGTTATTAAATAAAAAAAAATAATTAATTTGTATCGATGTACTTACTCCGTTATTTGCTCTAATTGTAAAATGAAATTTGTCATTTAATTTAGACGAGAAAGCAAGATTTTAATTCTTCACGTTGTAAACGTGATATCTGATTTTTCAAAGAAAGTTTCTCTAGCTAGCGATTCTTCTTCTCGTACGGGCGCCACCAAACAAATTTATCTCCATGAATCCATAATTTATGACCGCGTTTTATGTTGTATTTATGCATAGTTATCTTGCCCTCGGTCTCACACAGTCCGAAAGAAACATTCTCGTAGTACGTACACCTACCTATCAACCTACCTACCTACACCTATCTACCTACCACCTACCTACCTATTAACATAAGGTAAATATTACACATAAGAGAGAACGCCGAATACGTTCGTTTATTTATTAATCACTGTCGTTCCGAATCAATGAGCACAAAGAGAACGGCCGTCTTCGTTGTTCATTTGGTTTCGATGCGGATGGATTCATCTCGTAATGTTTTTTTTCTCATTGGAACGGCAGTACAGGTACATAGAATATTTTCTCGCTTCCGATCGTTCCGCCTCGATTTTTCGCTTTTCATGTTTTTTTCCTCCCTTTTAACAAATTATACGACATTCGTACAGACTTTGTTAGTTACTAACTATTGATCGTTAAATAATTTTTACTTTTTTAAATGAAACTTAAAAAAGAGATATAAGATCAAATATATTTAAGAGTTAAATTTTAAATTCAAAGAACGCGAGAGAGAGAAAGAGTGTACCTTTCTTCCTTTCTTTCATCTTCATGATGACCTACATTCCGAGGACTACTAATTTGCACCGTGTTATTATACGCGATAAGTGGTAACGAGCAAACCTCTGTCCAAATGGTAATTTTAAAAAAATCATAGAAAAAATGGTTGGCTATTGCGAGTTACAAAAATGGAATGAATTAATTAAGTGTCGAGATGAATAAAAAAAAGAAAAGATAAAAGGGGAGAGAGAGAGAGAGAGAGAGAGAGAGAGAGAGAGAGANGAGAGAGAGAGAGAGAGAGAGAGAGAGAGAGAGAGAGAATACAAGAAACCCGTGAAATCGAATTTACGTAGGTTCCACGCGTGTGTCCAGCAGCGTCCTCTTTTTTCCAACCTTTTCGAACTTCGATCGTTAGTGCAGCAACGCTAATCGAACAGCGTAACGCTCTGTTTGAAAAGGCTCTTTGAGGCTGCTGTTGATTTTCTTGGGTGCTAAACGGTTAGCTCGCCAGCAGCAAACGCCAGCAGCAAATACACCAGCAACAGCTTGCGAAGAGAAACAGCATTGGATCGTTTGCACTATGCCGCCCCGGAAGCTTCTCTTTTTTTTTTTCTTTGTTATTCCTATAAACTCATCCATGAAAAAAGAAAAAAAAGGGTCTCTGACGAACGTTCCAGTCACTGTCGAAGTGCTACTTTAAGTGGACTATTTTCGTTCGTTAGAGAAATTCCGTTTCGAAAATCCGGACTCTCTCGTATGTTCTGTCAATGACCAAAATCATCAAAAAAATCCGATTGATTTAGTTTCGAACGATTTTGGGCACTAGAGGCGAACCTCAAGGACTCGTAACCGATTGAAACATGCCAGTGTCAAACTTTGACTATGAACAACCAGTGAACGCGTCACATCACGAACATAGAACAATCTTCGAAAGAATTACGAATTTTTTTTTGCGTCAAATCATACTTCTGTCACTCGTTCACGTAAATGAACATTTTTGGATGCAATTAGATATGTTGTAATATATAATTCGTTCAATTTATCGATGTATTAGTAATTAGAGTTGAAGACAAAGGATTGTTCTGAAATCTTTGAACTAACTTTTAAAATTTCTTTATATTTAAGTCAGCCTCGTGACTAATCTTGATCGAATAATGTCATTTGATTTTCATACAAGGTAAATTATTTTTTCATACGGCCCGTGATACTTGATAATTGTTAATATTAAGAACAATTGTATGATTTTTCATATGTTTTTAACAAGAATATATAATAAAAATAACGTAATCTACTAAAACAAAAATCAAATGGCTGGTCACACGAATCGAAGAAAATAATTTTTGGTCAAACGAATTGAGACGATCAATTGAATAATACGTAAAACAAATCGATTTGTATTAATAATCGCACTGTAGTTGAATTACTGACAATTATAAGATGAATATTGATTTCACACTACTAGCAAATACATCACATTTCTAATAGTCAAAATCAAATTCCATAGTCTCGAATACGTGATCAGGCTTGAAACCAAGCACAATTTCAACTGGCTTAGGTAACGACATTAAGCTTGCATTCCTATCATCGTTAGATTAGTCCTTATTCAGACCTCTCTTCCCATTCGCTTCTAAGGAACGCAAGCCTTGTGTTCCCTGGAAGTACGATCGTTCTCGATTATCGCGTGCATCCGTCATAGACGTTCCATGAGATTAAATACGTGGAAACAGAACGACTGTGCTACACAAGCAAATTCCATTGCAAATCTTACACTAGTTTCTCGAAATCGATCCAAACGCCGATCTTTCATTCGTGGATCTAAAGTTTTATGAAATTTGCCGACATTAAATTTACTCAAACATTTTAATCCTTTATTATAATCACGTAATAAGTTTAAAATGTTTTATTACGCTATTATTATTCTGTAATAGATAGGAAAGTATGAATGAAATGATAATTGTAAACTTTTTAATGGTTTTATATAAGTACGAAAATATTTTCATAGTTTCAATTTTGTGTGGAACTAATTTCGAAATAATTACAATTAAATAATTTGTTCTTTCTTTTTTTTACCTAATTTAATTATTATTAGATCATTCATTTGAATATTTAATTTTATTTTACATTTTAAATGTTTTAGTTTATGAATTAAAAAGGAC